TTATTTCCGCGATTTATTTTAATTAAATTCCTGGTTATGTTGGTCGATTTTTTGGGGGGTCTAAGAACATCTCATGGTACTATGATTTCTTATTTCGAATACCTCAAACTAATTAAAATTAGATGTTCCGAATCCGCTACTGCTTCTCAACATCTAACAACATCCCATTAGGGGTCACGTCAGAGCGACCTTTCGATTATGAATAAGCATAAAAATTGTGGCCAATCAGATTCAACCTTCTGTATACGATTCTAAAATTAGTTCCACGGCTACATCTTTACATTATTGATTTTCAGTAGACTGTCTTACGTTGAATTAAAGTAATTTTGGTATAAATTGAACGTATAGTTCGCCAATCTGGCATTCTTACCTAAATAATGCAAACGAAAATGCACAAATTACATGTATACGTCTATATATCCCGCACGTCACATTCACATATAGCACGGTCTTTCCCATGCATATTTTGTTTACTAAGAAACCCCTCGGGCGTTTAGGTTTTGCAGTGAAATAAAGAAACGCATCCGAACTATAAGCCAAGATTTCAGAGACGGCGATTTCATTGGGTAATCGAAAGGTCGCTCTGACATGACCCCGAATGGGATGTTGTAAGATGTTTGAGAATCGGTAGTGGATTCGGAACATCTAATTTTAATTAGATTGCGAATACCTTAGCATATTATCAATTGGAAAATTACATTCTGTACGTTGCCTACGACCGTAATACATAAAACAAAAGAAATTAGTTCACATGTAGCACGTTTTAAGATATGTTAAGTAGGTTATGAACAACATGGATTATTTTTTGAATTTGAGCACATTTAATCATACAGAGGTGTTCATCTTAAAGGTGCTTGGTCACAGATTTGAAGTAAATATTTTCTCAAATTTTCTGTATAATTTCATGACATGTATTTTGCTACAGCATTTCATACTAAAATATAATAAAAATCTTATTTCATCTCGAACTTATTAAAACTTCGAATTTCTGGACGCGTTGGATTGACACATCCTTGCGCTTTCACATATTTTAATTTTATTCTTTATACTTAAGAAAAGTGGCAATTTTGTTGTGTATTAATGAAAAAAAAATATTAGAACTATAACCCAGAAAATTCAGAGCAGAAATGTTCGATAGCAAACTCCACTCACAGTATTCTAAGTCCGTGCTCAGTGGTGTGTGCATAGTTTAACAATTGAACACACCCGGTGAATCGTAAACATTAACAATAACAGAGCTCGTGCACTGTTTACAAAAACAGTTTACGTTTCACGGGTGTATTCAATTTGTTAAACTCTGTACACATCACAGAGCACGGCCTGACAATACTGATGAGTTGGTTTTTTCTACTCTGAATTTACTGGATTATAGATGTAATATTTTTCATTAATACATAACAAAAGCGCTTCTTTTCTTAAATATTAAGGATAAAGTTAAAATCTGTGTAAGTGCAAAGATGTGTTAATCAAACGCGTCCCGGAATTCGTAGTTCCAATGATTTCCAGATAAAATAAGTTTTAAATTATATTTTCGTGTGAAATGCTATTGCTATATATAAGTCGTGATATTATACAGAAAATTTGAGAAAATATTAAGTTCAAATCTGTGTCTAAGCACCATTAACTAGTAAATTTCAAAATAAGATATCGGCTTTTTTTCCCCCAGAAAACTGTTAAAAGACAATGGAGGAACATTAGTGAACAGTAAGCACTGCTGACTTGTTTACATACATTGACAATGATTGAAAATACTGTATTCAATTACATTATCCTGGTCTTATTTAATGTAAAGAATATTTTTTTTTTTTAATACAAATTTTCGTATTAACTGTATATTCACGTTAAGTCTATCGTAAGTCCAAGGGCAGATCGCTTTAACTGCTTTATTCTACCTTGCAGCTAGAGCTAATTAGTGTTCAGAGTTCAGGACACTTAAACAACTGAATATGTCCATAGCATATTAAGAAATATATATATATATATATATATATATATATATATATATATATATATATATATATATATATATATATATATATATATATATATATATATATATATATATATATATATATATATATATATATATATATATGGTTGTGCCATTTAGGAGACCGCTCATATTTATATATTGGCATTAAGTAGCCTCGTAGAATAAGTGGACCAAAACCGGTCGCCTTAACATTTTGACCCTCTCTGAACAGAAAATTAATGACTTTTTAATATTAAATTGACAATAGTTAATTTTAGTTTAGTATATTTTTGTCCCTTAAATACAAAAAATATGCCAAAATTTTATGATTATAGAAATTTTTAAATTTAAATTTCAAGCAACGTATATATTGGTATTATTATATATCGTCATTATGTAGACCAGCTAAAACTTGCAAAATTAAATAAGATCTGCTATATATGTCTTATTTCTCCTAGTATTTAGTTTTAGATATTGTTCTCCCACTAATTTTGGGTATGTACAATTTGCTAAATAGAATAAAACTTTTTACGAGAAAATGAGCTTTAGAGTTTCGTGTTCATCAACTTCAAGGTTTTCGTGCGCAATGCCTTCCGAAAATTTTCGGAAATCCTCGGTATCCTTTACGACCTTCGGAGAAATAGGAGTCAGACAAAATTTTGGTAAGTAATAACAAATTATGATTTTTTAAAAATACTTATTCATGATACATTGACTATATATTATGCACCCAATATCTTGCGGTTAACGTCTGGTATTTATTCATTGATAAAGACTTACGTATACTTATTAGCATGGAGGAAATTCGAATTGTAGTTTACCAACAGCGTGGTTTCAACAGATCGTTTGTTTGTTTTGAACATATTTTATTGACATAAGCAAATGGATCGGAAACAAGTTCTTACAACTTACTTGTTCCTAACAATTGATTACATGTACTTGAACAAAATAATTGTAATCTCTGCTTATTCATAAATATATACTGAATAGCATAATATTAGGCTGGTGGTATCGTTCTTGCGGAGATAAATTAAATATTCGATAATTTACCTGAAATACTAACTCTAATTTCCTATTATATGTGGGGTAGGGTTGGGTTGGAAATGGGAGTAAGGTGTTTCTAGGTTCAAACTTTTTTCACAGCCTAATCCAACCAGCCTTTCCTGAACAATTTTAATAGTAAAAGATTAATTGGGGGAGGGGAGGAGCCCCCCCCCCCCCCCTCCAACCACGATATCACATCTCTGATGTCTATGGCAGCGGATACATACATGCATACATGTACATACAAATTTATGTATCTGACAGCATCCCCCTTAGATTTCTTGTACATAAAACATAAAGTTGATTTGGACAAGCCCAATATAGCAACAATTTTGAAATATCTTCAAAAATAAAGAGGAATTAAGGGCTACAAACTGCTAAAAAATTCAAAGGGACCAGATTAATATTTTTGATCGGGTTAGAAGTGGGGTTTGGGTGCAGGATGTGTGGAAATATTTTGTGGTGTATATTCCATATAGGCAAAAAGGCTGTAGGCTATGACACATCAATTTTTTAAGGATAGAAATTTGGTTGAAAAGGGGGGAGGAAAGTTGATGATAAATGTTATCTATTAATTTCATTTTGTTGCAAATGCCAAAAAAAAGAAGCATTTTTGACAATGCGCATTTTTGTACCCATACTTACAGTCTAACTTTCTGTTTAATGACAAAAATATTCCTACAACTGGAAATAAAAATTAAGCCAAAATTCAAGTATTATATTAGGTCTGCATCAGCCTCCTTGCTTACCCATTATTTGCGCCTCAAGTTAACTCTGTGACATCACACTAGCCGACACATTACATGTAGTAGAAAGTAATAATATTATTATACACCAATGATATTCTAAACAATCTATTACACTGTACCTTTTGGCATGAATGGAGGATTAATTAACAGGTTATATCAGAGATGAGCATATCAGTTAATAGTTATATGTATTACACTTTCCATGATTGAGTAACAAAAGATATACTGTGTAATTCTTGCAATATTTTTTCTATAATAGTAGACTCAGTTAACATCACCACCGTTAAAGAGTTTCGATCTACAGCACTGCTGATTTAATTTCTCAGATTTTATTAGAGATCTACAAGTACCTTTACAGGTCACTTAATTAGTACATGTATCTCAAATTTAATTGGGCAAATGAGAATTTTGTCTTTAACAACTTAAATGAATCAAAAATGTATTGCATGTTCAACATGTTCAGGGTAAATTATTTCCTTTATCATGAATTTATTCTAATTTTATGGGAGAATATATTTATAATTATGAAAGTACTAGTAAATCAGTCTACACATAAGTAAGAATTACCTCAACTATTTGAATTACTTTGCAGAATTTATTGCATTGTCTTTATTACTTAACAATCATGTAAAACTTTATTTCATGGCCGTAGGAACGGGGGGGGGGGTGCCCCCAATAATTTTGCCGAAATATAGAATACTAAAGAAAACATAGCTACTATATGCTTGTGCCCCCTCAATAAAAACGCCTGATGACTTTTTTTTTTTTTTTTTTTTTAAGCTTGTCAAGGAATTTTTTGTTGTTAGTGCCCCCCAAAGAAAATGCATGGCTGTCCCCCCTCCCCCAAACTGAAATTGCTTCTTACGGGCCTGTATTTATTGATTTTTTTTTAATGTTTCATTTATTTATAAACCTATTAAGTGTTTCATTTTGAAAAGAAATATTAGAAGATAATCATAATTTCAGAAAGAAGTTGAAATTAAATAATAAAAGAGACCCTAAGAAAAATTGCTTGTTGTCATTGTCAAGCTTGAACAAGTCCTGATTCATATGAAACAGATCCTGATCAATTTAAGCAGAAACATATAATGAAAAAAAATACTGTTTATCTTATGCAGTTGCCATGGAGAAATTAACTTGCTTATACTCTCAATTTAGTTATAAAACCATATAACAAGCAATAATTTTTTTTATTTTAATAAAATTGTTATGCAGAGTCTACATATATTACTTGTATATCTACATATGTAGATTAGAAACTTTCGGTCGGGTTCAGTTTAATTTTGATCGGGTTAGTTAATACATTGTTGAGTCTTTTGATCAGCATGGACATGGTTTGATGGTATGATAATATTTTTACAGTTTCAATTTCTAAACTTTCCAGGAAAGTTTAATTCCTGCATTTTGTACAATGGCTATATATATGCCGTATATTTTCCCATGAATTTTTTTTTGAAATTATATTTTTAAAATTCTGACAAGATTTCTGAGGAAATTTTTAACTGCCTAGGGTGAGATTTATGACAGTCTGAGACATTTTAAACCAAGTCTCTGAATAAATTAGATTTTGTTGACTTGTTTGCATTTATGCATTTATTTTTATTATAGTGTGTTCGGTACCACATAACATGCGAGAATACCTTCTCCGGTATGTTGGAGAGAAGATTAGCAAGAAAAAATCGCGTGAGAAAATGAGAAGTTGACAGAAAAAGATTTTTTTCATTATCGAAAGGGACATGTACAACATCCATAATGGTAAGAAAAGATAATTATTTATAGTCATATTTATTTGTTTCTATAATGTTTCTTTCGATAACTTTTCACTCATATTGAAAAGCCAGCACTTGTGAACCTCTGTACTCAGGACCCTTGAGCAATGAGTAATTTTGTTCATGCCAGCACCTAATACAACATGGGACCTCAGTTTCATTTGAACACCGGTCTCCACATCCTGCAGTGGGATTCGAACCTGTGATGTTAGGATCAACTCCTTTATCTGTGACTCTAAAGCAAACACTTAAACCACTGCGCCATGCAAGCAGCTAGTCATACATGTATTCCTTCACAAGATGAAACACTTCCTTTAAGTTTGGCTTAATGGTGGCTTATAGGTCCTTAATGATGGTTTAATGGTTGTCACCATTAAGCACCTTTAAGCTACATTTAAGTTATAAATAAACCACCATTAAGTTACCATTAAGCCATATCAAAGTCCTTAATGGATGCTTAAAGGTAGCTTAATGGTGGCTTAATGGTGGCTTATAGGTGCTTAATGGTAGCTTCAAGACAATCATTAAGTCACCATTAAGCCACCATTAAGCCAGACTTATAGGTGCTTAATGTCCAAACTCCATTAAGCTACCATTAAACCACCTTTAAGCCACCATTAAGTCACCATTACGCAGTCGATAAAACTGCTTTTACGGGTTAAATATTATTTTTATAATGATTTCTTCTCAAAAATTATAAATGTCGAGTTTATACATTTGTTAATTGAGCGAAAATAATGTAAAAGAAAGAAAATTAAAAAAAATAAATAAATGAAAAAAAAGCATTCCCAACAGGATTCGATCCCGTGAACTTTAGATTGGAGGGCGAGCGCTTTAACCACTGAGCTATCGAGGCTGTTTAAATCTAATTGAAAAATAAAACCTTTATTTTTAACAAAACTTGTTTGGAATGGTTACAGGTACCTGTATATGTATTTTTTTCTGATGTTTATATTTATTAATCAATAATACGAATAATTATATTTATATATATATATATATATATATATATATATATATATATATATATATATATATATATATATATATATATATATATAAAAGAAATTTTGATAAAGTTTTATATTACGTTAACATTTCTTAACCGTGGACAGGAGTTCGGTGTGATGGTGTGAAACAACTTTTTGATTTTAAGTAATTCCTCGTTCTGTTATTTGCAGATTTATAAGCATGAAAAGATTGAAATTCAACAGATATAACAAATTTTTTTTATTAAAAAGGAATATATCATCGAAAGAGAACGATTGGGGGAAAAAAAAAACAGATTATAGTTCTTATAAATATGCTGCGGATTTTTGACAATCTTTGCGTAACAATTAAGTTATAAAATATTTTTGTAACATATCATCTTCAGTTTTAATTCTTTTTATATCATTATGGGTATCAAAATAATTGTCTTTTTGTGTACAATTATAATTTCTAATTTGTTATATGCTTGCGTAAATTTTAAGTTTTGTAAAAAAAAAAAAAAAAAATAGATCATCAAAATCTGTCACTGTACGTTCCCGTGTATAGTTTCCTGTTAATTGACCGGGGATTGGTGGGGACACCTAATTAAGGTCTATTGTCTAACTAGTCGATATACTGTACACTGATTATTTTACCCCGCTTCTCAATGTGTATAAATCTGGTCGGATAACCTGTTTAATCTGATCGGCTGTTCTTCTGAAAATTGATTTTGAAATAACAAACATTGAAGACCGACTATATTTTGATTAGTTCTTACTTCTGCATTATTTTAAAGAAATTCTTACTTCTGCAGTATTTTAAAAGAAAGGAAAAAATAATGACACTTAACCACGAATTAATTCAAATTATTCATGAATTAATTCAAAAATTGGCAATATAATCTATACCTATATATTTTTTTTATATCTTAAACATTTCTCTACCCAAAGAAAAATTAAGAGACTTTGTTCCAGAAGAAAATGACTCTAATTACATTTCCTACGAATTCGGCAGTGGAACGTGGCTCTCCAAACACGAAAGAAAAATATGTGATTTTTTTTAAATTAATATATATTATGTATTTATGGAGAAAAATAATTTTAAAACAAGTATTCAAACAAACTGATTTTAGGGAGCGAAAATCTTAAGGCATTTGGTGAAGCTGTTCTCAGTTCCCGAGTTTATCCGCATTGACAAAGATGTTAGAAATAGCGAGAAAAAATTACGAATTGAATAAGTATTTGCGTAAATGATACTGAAACAACTTCAAACTTAACAAGTTAGTTTAAAGACTTGATACTGGATGCGTTAAGGTGGATTAATTAAGTTTGGACATTAAGTCACCATTAAGCTGCAGCTTAAAGGTGGCTTAATGGTAGCTTAATGAAGTTTGGACATTAAGCACCTAGAAGCTGCAGCTTAATGGTGGCTTAATGGTGGCTTAAAGGAATTAACGTCTATAAGCCACCATTAAGCTACCATTAAGCCACCATTAAGCGATTACTTAAAGATGGTCTTTCGTCCTGTGCCTTATGATGTGAGCTAGCATTATTTATGAAAATTACATGTGCTGTAGATCATAGGTTGCTACATAGTTCTTTGTGTGTTGCGCTTAAAAAATATGGTGTTCATCAATGATTCATTTTGGTGTGCATCCTGCGTAAAGTATGCACAAATTTTGCTCAGGACGCATTATTTTAATAAATGTGCATCCCAATGGACGCAATAAATTTATAGAAGAACGTGTATTATTTGGTATAATCCGATTTTAAACTTGACCGATTGCATCATATCCATGTGCTAAGCGATATGCATGAACAATTTTAACAGGTATATATAAGGTTGCCAACAACAGGTCAGATTTCACAATTGCAGCCAATTAACCAGCAATTATCAGAAAATATTTGAAAGTTAGATAACATAGTTCGATTATCACTGATTATGTCTATACTGTGGAACATTTCTGAAGCGAATACTATGTAAAAGCTATACATGTAACCTGTATCATTTTTTTGTTTTTGTTTTTTCCTTACAAGCTAAGAAGTTTAAAATTTAATCATTTTTATTTCTGACTGTTTTTTTCATTTCTTCTTAAAATTTCTTTGCTTCATTCTGCTTCTGTGCATTTTATGACTGATACATTACAATGTGTGAGATCGTATGTACGATCTAAAAGTAGAACCAAAGTGCACAGTTGACAATATATTATATTTATGACACAAAATCATGTAGTCTTACTTGGACAATTGATAGTAAAATTATAGAACTACTCACAGCAACAATAAAGCATTTGCTCTTTCGTGAAATAACTTTTTATATTTCACCAGAATTTCCTCTGTAATATCTAATATATGACCCTTGGATTTGGATACTCTGATTTTGTCATGGGACTCATTGTTGTCATTAAGGGGGGTCCTTTGGACCCATGATAACCATTTTCAAAATGAATCACTAGTTCATAGGTCTGGGACTAAAAGTTTATGAGGACATAATATCTTAATATCACCCACCCATTATCATCTGATCAGCATGATCAGTACTATTAAGCAGGAAAACAAATATTTGAAGAGACATACTGTAAAAATAATTTTGTAAGATCTTGGAAAACATGTAATTTTGGTAGTAGATTGACATATAAGTATATAATTTTTTTTGTGGATAACAGTTGATTAGGGTAGGTGGTCACTGGTGTGATTTTGACCCATTATCTGATTATTTTTCATACTTAAGTTTTGTTCGAGTATATGTCAGTGTTTGTTATGCTACAACGTTTTCTGGGTAATTTTCTCTATGGAATACCTTTTTACAAGATTTCTTCTTTTTTTTTGGAATTATTTATTGAATTTGCGAAATACATGTGTTTGACTTACAAGATATATGTGTTGGGTTATTTCTAGTTAGAACAATCTAACTTTGTCTCGGAACAAGCCCTCGATCACCACAGTTAGAATATGTCCCATATACTAGCAATGTAGCATATTGGAAAGGATCCGCTCAGAAATGATTTTGAAGAATACAAAAAAAATTGCACTGAAAATAACTATCAAATTAATCATAACAAACCTTTTTGAGATTTTATATGCCTTTTAACCTAAAAAATAATCCATAGAAATAAGAAAATTCAACTCATTTTCTCAACCTTTTTTCCTCGCTTCAAAGGACAAGGTATGATAACGGCTGAATCTGGCCCCTTATTTGATGTAAAAATCAGAACATAGTTAAAATAGTGATAGTTTGTAGTTAAGAACTAAAAATGATGCTTGTTTTAAAACCAGCACTAATTTTGATTCAAAGCTTACACGGAGACCAGAAGAGGGTGCAGAAGTAGGACAATTTCCTGAATTTTCTCAATTCTATTGGAATATCCTCAAATTTGAGATACTTTTCACTTCGGGAAACATAGAGCACAAGCTTGCCTATCTGAGATTTTTATACATAAGATGCATCTGATACTAGTATATGAAATATATAAATTTGGTAGAGGGGCAAGCTTGTGCTCTATGTTTTCTGAAACAAAATGTGCTGTAAAATCGATGAAAATTTGCATAAAATGAGAAAATTCGGAAATTGACATATTTTCTGATCTTCCTGTGACCTGTATGTATCACATAACTTAGAACCAATACTCATTTTCTGGCAGGGGTGACAACAGGTTTCTATTGTTAAACTGTTGTATCATTCTAAACAACACCCCAAACCAGGGGCCAAAAAGGGGTCTTCGCCTATCTTGTCCTTTACACGCCATGTTGAATTCGGAACTCTCTGGATTGTTCATAGAAAATGCAGTCAGTTCGAGTTATCGAACTTGCTTATTTTGATAAATTGCCAATACACGGAACGAATTCTATCTTTAAACCAGGTCTGTAGGACAATATCATTTTAATGATTAGAACATTCTAATCTAGGTTATTGAGATCACAGCAACAATATATAAACAAAATTAAAATTGAAATTATAATTCGCATCATCTCTTTTAAAAAAGAAAATATAAATTCATATTATTTTGTAAAACCAAAAAATATTGGTTTAAATATACTGACAATAAAAAAAGGAGACAATAATTCTCAAATTATGAATAACTTTAAAACATTGAGTGCACCTACAAGCACAGATCCCATGATTTGTAATATAATGCACACACAGGCATGTAAACTGAAGTATATCAAACATACAGATTTTCACTGATTAGCTAATATACATGTAGAACTAGTTTCAACTAAATACTCGTACAAATACAAAAGAAAAAAATAATTATTTTCCAAGCAAATAAAATGAAGAAATTAAAAGTTTTTGATTTTATTTTGATTTAAAAATTATCAAAGAATATTTAAGTTGAACTTCATGAAAAAGAAAAGCTGAAATCAAAATATTTGTATCAATTTAAATGTCATGCTTGATAAATTTTGGAAATACTGACAGATACACCCTTGCATAACACATATACATGACTAAAATTGTAAATTTTTAGAGACTTTGGATATGCATGGTGTCAAACTTTGTCTCATTTTAATATAAAATGAAAAAATTATAACCGATTAAAGATATTGTGATCTGTATTGTAGCATAAATATTGTGATACCTGATATAGTATATTAGATATAGAATAGTAGACGAAAGTGTATTATCCCAGCCCTTTATATTTGCAGTGCAGTATAAAACAGTTCAATTATATAATAATGAAGTCAAGAGAATATGGACATGAATATATGTAAATTAATAGATTTTGTTTTCATTTTTGCAGGTGTGTCTGATGGAATTTGTCATTTCATTAATAAATAATGCTGATAAAGATGCAAACTTAGCAATTGTGCCTAAAAAGTGACAGCTTTGACAAGGAAATATATCCATATATAACAGTTACTGGTACTGTCTGAATGCAGTGAAAGGATCCAGATGAACAGATGAAGAGATTAAGTACAATGTACATCAATTACTTGGATGAAGAGAATCTGCAACATGGGGTAAGGTATATTTGCTGCTTTATTAGTTATAAACTGTAAATAAATTGTTAGCAGAAAATAGACACAAAAGCTTTAATTAAAGCAAATCAGGGGTAAATACTAACTTTTAAAGCATGCAGATACTCAGTGATAGACTGATAGTTTGATAGTATCATAAAAACCAAAAGAACTTCAGTGACTTTGAATTCCTGATAGCCCTAGCTGTTAATGAACTAGTTGCCCATTACAGCCTTTGGCTGCTTATGGAGTCATGACGTGATTGTTGGGGGAGGAGGAAATGAATTCCCAGTGGAGATGGGTATGAAGGTTAAAAATAGGGCCACAAAGAACCAGGTTATGGTGAGGCAGACTTGCCTCCTTACATTTTATTGTAATTATTTAACCCTTCACTCTTTATGAGTGAAATAATTCTCGAATGGGACATAAAACAACACTCAATCAATCGGTCACACTTCACTCGCTGTTCACAGCACTTGTTGCTTTGTACTGGGCACTACTGGCTCACTTAAGCAGGTTAAGTTCAGTTTGGTGTTTACTAGTCATTCCAATGATAAATAAGTCTGAAGAACATTTTTTGTGAGTCGACTGCACAGCAGTGCAACACCTGAGGTTCAATTTACCTGGCATCTGTCTGTCTGTCCATCTGTCACACCTTATATCTCAAGAATTGTAAGAGGTTTAATTGTTTTTGATATTTGGTTAATATTTTGCGTGGCACTCTGACTTTTTTTAAATACCATGGTTGCCAATCTTGTGACCCTTGAACTTACCTTTGACCTACTTCTAAAAAAGTTTAAAGTGCCAATATTCAGCATATTTTTGATAATTTAAAAGAGGTAAGTCTATGCTATTAATAGCATGTGCACAATTTATCATAAATTATAATGAAAAATACCAGCGTTATAGTTCACTTGACTTTGACCTTTGTTTTACTTTTCAAAAAATATTTTGAATGGTTAATTTAACTTAAATGTTTTGATTTTCTAGAAGTAGTGTTTTGATAATTAGCATTGATGAGCTCATGACACTCTACTTTGAAACTTTTTGATATCCAGTTATCACACAAACTAAAACTTAAATCCTTTGAAAACAAATCGGGATCAGTATACCACAATGGGTGGTAATGTAGACTGACAATTGCAGTAAAGACAGCCTGAAATCTTTTCAGAAAAAAACTGTTGAAAAGATTATTGACCATTATATGGTGACGTCTCTATTTTAGTGAAAAATTCTTAAACAGGATATAAAATGACATACAATTAAACAATCAATCCAACTACTGAGTGAGCTTTCTAGCTTGTGAACTACCAATTACAGGTAAACTTCGGTATCTCGACATCACATATGTCGACAACCTGGGATATGTCGACATCCTTCCGTGGTCCCGGCAGTATTTACTATATAAATGATTTGCAAAAACTCTGATATGTCGACCTCGTTAATGTCGACAACCCGGGTTATCTTGACGTATATTTACAGTCCCAAGAGCAAATGTCGACATCGGCAATTTTCTGCTCTACTGAACCTAACTGTTTGTCAGATAGGGTCGCTCGTCACGCACGGACGACTCCGGGTATCTCGACGTCGTCAAAGTTTCACACCTTTCACACCCATGTTTTGACTGCACGCTGCTTAATTAATTTCATAGACTGTGTTTGTAGGTGAATCCAAAGCCCCTTCGGCATCTTTGAGAAGTTAATTGAGCTTGGGTAATATCATTACTAAATCTACATGATTCTGCCTAAATGTACAGAATGTTATTTATATCGAAACATAACATAACTTTTAAATTTGAAAAAGATAACTAAATTATAATGAATAAAAAACACACTGAAAATTTCAAACTAAGGAATTAAAAAAATGTTTTAATGATATTTGTAGTTAAAATGTATTCAACAGGAAACAATCCGATTAACGACATGATTGACCGAATCAGCTGTAATTCGTGCATCTGTAACATCACTACGTTAGTTTAGATACATAAATCTCTTTAAAAAAATTAATTTTAATGTATATTCTTCCAGAATAGAATAAGAAAAAAAATAATCTGCATTTAATTTTTTTTTACCGTATATCGGATGTCGACTTTATACGGTTCGAAGTTTATAGAGCACATTTCGTATCCTGTTCTGACGAAAAGGCAACTTACACGCGAATGCAGCTCAATGCTGTAACTTTGTTCTGAAACTTTGTGAATTTAGAAAGATTTCGATAAAGAACACGTTTAATAAACTAGATTTTTAAAATAACTTCTTAGATTTTTAATAAAAATAGAGGGAATTCTGAAATATGTTGAGCTACAGTCTATATTAAAGTCATGTAAATATGATATGCTTGGCTGTTTTGCTATGCAATGAAATCTTGGATGTCAAGTCTCAACTCTGATATCTCGACACCTCGAATATCTCGACATTTTCCGATGGTCCCGTCGATGTCAAGATAACGAAGTTTACCTGTATGTCCAATTGGAAGTAATATTTGAATATTTTAAAATGTGATTGTACATTGTAGGAAATAATGTTCCTATAGAAAAGTCAAAGAATGTATACATGTGAGATTCTGAAGTAGCCGTACATGATGAGTAGGAATTTGAAGTGAATTATGGGAAAAGGTATGTAATCCATTAGTTTGCTTTAAAGTTAGTGATTTTAAATCTGAACACACTGTGTAAAAGGAATTTTTCCGCCATATTCCTTTATTCACGCTATATTGTAGGGTCCCTATATAAGCCACTCACTTAGTCACTGTTCAGTGTAATCTGTTGTCACCTGTCTGTATAGACAGACTGACGTATGCTACATAGCTCTGGGTAGCGACAAAAAATTACTGTGTACTTCTTTCACGGCAGGAGAGAAAGATGCCAATGAAACTTAGTACAACAGTCGCACAGGTCAGTGCAGTATACAAACATACACAAGTACACGTAACTGCAATAAAATAAATGAACAAAGGCAATGCAAGATAACCAGCATGAGCATGTGTCACCATTCCACTCCGATACCTGTGACAATAAAGCAGTCAGGTGTAACAAATGCGAAGAGTATACCCTGGTGCTGATATAGTAGATGATATATAATCGAATATGGTGTATGCCTATTTATGAGATGTGTTCAGCTTTAATTGATTGTTTTTCTCTGACTACATGTACCATAGGTCATAGTCATTTATGGTATATACAGTGGCGCCATGTTTATCCGAACACTTCACCTTCCAGATGCTATTTTTTGGGAATAGATTTTTTCCATGTCATTCTGTCTCATTAATCCAGAAATTCGTGTTCCACATCCGAACGGTCGATTTTTACTACAAAACGTAATTTATAGTTCATTGAAAAATGACTCATTTATCCGGACGGTAATTTTTCAAGAAATGACTTTTTCATACTTATCTTCAGGGGTTGAAATTTTCTTGGAAATCCCACTAGCCCAGGGGCTACTGATTAGGAAAAAATTACTAGCCCAAATAAGAAACAGTTCAAAATTAATCAATATTATTTTTAACAAACTTAAGCCAAAGAGGCGTCCGGATAAACAAGGCACCACTGTATATATCTATAATACATGCATATAAAAGTACTTGCTATTAACAGTGAGTACAGTAAAATTTTCCCATTAAATATATTAATTTTTTCTATGTGGTTTACTTTATGCCCAATTATCAGCAGTTTCCATAATTGCCATATTTAAGTATAAGAACTAGGTTGCTATAGCAGACAAAAGGTAAATATAAAAAATCTAAAGTGCAAGGTACTTTATCACTGATTGAATGTTAATTAGGGCCTGCATGAAATGTTAAAGCTATATAGGATTCACATTGTCCATCTTTATGTCTTTCAGCCAGCAATTAACACTTCAGTTGTGACACAATAAACAAGTTTTAGTTTATGCAGTGTAATACTATACAGGGTATTGATGCATACAGTAAATGAGATCATTAGAATGGTGTATTTATATACTGTATATACTTGATATCAACAATTTTTCTCAGTGGTCTACTTTATGCCCAATTATAAGTGGTCTCCTCAATGGCCATATTTAAGTATAACATATGTATAAGTACAGGTTGCTATAGCAGACAAAGGTAAATATAAAAATCTAAGTGCAAGGTACTTTATCACTGATTGAATGTTAATTAGGGCCTGCATGAAATGATAAAGCTCTATAGGATTCACATATTGTCCATCTTTATGTCTTTCAGTCCAGCAACAATTCAGTTGTGACACAATAAATAAGTTTTAATTTGATATGCAGTATAATATAATACAGGGTATTGATGCATATAGTGAATAAGATCATTAAAATGGTATATTTATATACTGTATATACTTGATATCAAGGGTTAATTCAATTTACTCAATTTTTCTCACTGGTCTACTTCATGCCTAATTATAAGTGGTCTCCTCAATGGCCATATTTAAGTACATGTATAAGTACAGGTTACCATTGAAGACAAAAGGCATATACAAAACTCTAAAGACCATGATACTTTGATACTGACTGAATGCTGATCTGGACCCTTGAAAAGCACTTAGTCTCATTTATATGACAATGTGTGGTTTGATATAAGTTAACTGAATTACCTAGGTAACCATGGTAACATATTTCTATCTGTTTTTGGATGTTTTTGCATAAGCAAGGGCTTGGGTCATGCATAAACTTTTCACATTTTTCAACTTCTTCTGAAGAACTACTGGACAAGTTTAAACCAAACTTCACAAAGTATCTTTAGAATAAGGATGGCAATGATTAACTGGTTTATTAACTATTAAGAAAGATCATAACCAGTTAAAATTTTCATAACCAGTTTTGTAACCAGTTACAATTTACATACTAACCACTTAGTAGATACAGTAGCTGCAACGTTATTGTTGACAACTTACACGAACGATCACGTTAGACGAACGATTCCGCACGATTCACACACGATAAAATCTGTTACACGAACGATCCTTCACACACACGATTCTACACGTTACACGATCTTACACGATTGCTAACGGAAACGCACGATTCTTCACGCAAAATAGTTCAAATTCTTTAGGAATGGATATTTTCAAAAAGAAATAAGGCTTAATACTTATTTTAGATTTCAAATAATGATTGATTTTATTTCATCGACTTTGAAAAATGAAAAAAAAAAATAGAAATGGATATTTCTGGAACTAAATACATGTAAGATTTATGAATTATTTTAGATTACAAAAAATTATTTATGTAATTCTCTGACTTTAGAAAACTGATTTTTTTTTTTTTTTGTTCTATCAGAAGATGTACATGTAGGTGGACCGTGAGTTTTGATTGAATTGGATTTCATAATATGCAGAAAGGGATAAGTTTGAAAAAAATGGCATGAAAATGAATTAAATTATAAGTTATATCCACATTTCAATTTGTGAATCTCTAAAATCAACAATTATTTTACAAATCATTTATTTGCAGAAATTAAAAAAAATAATCAAAAGTAACCTCCAGAGATAACGCTGATAAATGAAACCCCGAGAATCATGTCGTGTAAATGTACATTCACCGACTAAATACTTATGTAAGCATTGAGAATTATTTATTTGTAAAAATGTTTATTTTTGATCTATTGATTTTAAAAATATCTTGACCATAATTAGCAATAAATATAATTAACATCAGAGAAAAAAATCAAAAATCTAAGTACGGTTTATCAGAAAAAAAATCATGCTATTTGACGAGAACACAATATTGTACGACTTACTATATTGTTTATTTCCAAGCGATAATTAGTTCATTCTGTTTTCAGTTATGTAAATCGCGCTTCATTTCTTTTTAATTTGGATTAAAAAAAAAAAAACAGACAAGTGAAAGGCTTGTATAACAAAAACATTCCAATAAAAACTTTCAAAACAAAATTTACACGTTTCTTAACGCACGATCACACATGATTAAAACCGCAAACGATTGAGTCTGATACACGCACGATCTCGCACGTTACACGAACGATCACGCATGTTACACGAACGATTCTACATGATTCTTTTGTCAACAATAATGTTGCAGCCACTGTAGTTGGGATGGCAATCGAATACAGAATTGCAAATCGGTTAACCGCAAAATGTTCCGACCAATTAACCGGTTAATTGTATCAAACTACACAATGTCATTTTCTTGACTTTTTTCAAGTACCTCTATTCCTATGCACAAGAAGTCTTTAAAAAAGTTGTTAGAGGTCAAAATCATTCTATTTGTCTTTCTTGATCATAAAACTACGCACATATTTTTTTTCAATAGACAAGAAAAAATTCAGAAAACCATAAACTATGCCTGAGATATCGTGGATAATTTTCATGAGCGTATGTCACACAAGTTCATTCTTCATTATCACCATAATCAAAACTAAGTCTAAATTGTATCACTTAAGGGGAAGAAGGACCTTGAGCTGAAAAAATACTTGTCATTCAATTTTTTTCATATTTTGTGTATTTCTAATTTAGTATGTCCCACATATCTTAAAGCAGTTATATCAGTAGGTTTCTGACCTTATTTTAGAGATATTGATTGACAAATACTATGCCCTGCAGTATCTTAGTGGAGTTTTAATTCTTCATGTTTCCGGGCCCAATACTCTGTCCATAATGGGATTTTTTAAGCATATATAAAAAATATGCAACTGGACATGTATCTCTTAAAATATTTCAGAGTATGAATAGGTTTAAAATTCGAAAAAGCAATTTTATCCTGTCACACCGCATCTGGATAAGGAAAGTTACGTACTTTTTGAGACAACTTAAGCAACAAAAAAAAACGTAATTTACAAAAAATTCTATCATTCAATATTTTTAAATTTATGTTGAAATGCAAGTCCTTCAAATTATTGGTTAACTGTAAAAATTTTGAATGGTGAAGCTGACCTCAGTATTGCACAGGACATCATTACAGAGGACATAAGCATGACAAAAACGTGTCATATTTACATTTCTTGAGTACGGGAAAAACCAACTATGACGTCACACGTAAGCTAAATAAGCAAAATAAGATATGCCTACATAAGATTTCTGTCATCAGCCATGCAATCATAATTTTTATGTTCCCCGTTTCTCAAAATATTTCATCACATACTGATTATGACCTGATTTTACATAATAATACCGCCCCTGTATTCACCGAGTATGATCTTGCTGTACTAATAAATCGTGTATGACGTCACCGACTTGTTGGACGCGCAGTTTAGGGAAACAGAGGAGTGGATCAATCTTTTTCATAATTTGTTAATGTTTACATGAATGTTAAAACTTTTTACTTTTTTATATAAGATGGCAATTTAAGTTAAAAAAAAAAATGTCAAAAAATTATACAAGAACTGATGCTTTACACGTTTTGGACTTATATAAACGGAGATTATGACGTAGATAAAAAGAGTCATGTGACCATGTGTCCTTCATCCCCTTAATTTACAATCTTATGTTTGTATTTTAATCTAATGTGATAGATAACTGCAAAAGATACACACACACCAATTCATGATGCTCAACGGTGATTATTATCATTAAAGAATTAGAGGACAGTCGGGGTAACGACATGATGTTTTAACAGTAATTAACATATCTCAGACTGACCAATTACCCCGCAATTTTAATCTGGAGAGCCATAATGACCTCCCAATCAGCCTTAATAATAAATGAAAACGCTAAATTAAATGTTTAGGTAGGAATTTCTATTTTGAAAGTGAATTTTAGTACATTGCCTTCAGTTTTACATGTATTATAATTTTTTTACGACTAATCGATTGCAGATTTTCTAATCGATTGCCATCATTCCAACCAAGTAATCAGTTAACAGGTTAGAAATTGCCATCCCTAGTAAATAGTTTTTGTCAATGAGTATTTGTATTTACTTTTTCAATAATATTTTCATTTTTTGAAATAAAACTTGTAACATGTTTCAAACTGAAATGTGACAATCAAGCAGTTACCATATCTTGCCGAATATAATATGCATTGGTTTAAATATGCACCCCCTTTTTCAGCCTGATAACTTGGGGAAAATTGCAGCTCGGTTGTAAAGATTATTTGCTACAAAATCTTATTTCGTACAGGGCACAAGTTATTTAAACATTAAGATTTTAACAGACTTGAAATTTCTTTGACAATAACTTAAAGATAAGTCACTTGACATATGTGTTGTAATCAACACACACCCAAAACTTAAAAAAATGAAGAACGAAGGTTATAAATCCCAATAAATGTGTTAATTTTCCCAATAGTAATTTCTCCCAAAAATTAAAGAAAATATAGCTGGATATATACCGGTAATAACTTAACTTGCTATTCATATTCCTCTGTTTTATAAAACAAATTTAGTTGATTACGAAGACCGGAAACCCAATATATATGATTTTAAAGTACGTATAATGGTTATTCCAAAATTTCCTAAGAGGTCTTTATTTTCCCAATCTTCCCAAAAAGCAGTGTGAAAATGAAAACAATTATATGTACAGCAAATAAGAAGTGCCCTATCTTGTCAAAAATGTGATTGGAATAGATAGACCATTTCTTTATCCAGGTGAATATCATTACCGCTACATTTTCAAAATGGTTATTATTTACCGCTACATACTCATTACCGCTGCAAAAAATGTACACATTACCACTACATTTAAAAGTTTACATTACGAATACATTGCCTCTTTCATTAGCCAATGGATTATGCATGTACAGATTGATACAAAGTACATGTACAACATATCCAAGCATAAGACCTTTTTCCACTGCTCACCATGGGAGACGAAAGTAGGGCTTAACAGGGTGGCTTTTTCCCACTTTTTTATTAGTCCCCTACCGGTGAAACCAGAGGAAATTATAGGTTTCCTCTGAGTCTGTCCATCTGTCTGTCTGTCCCTCTTTCAGTCTGTCCCATTTGTTTTCCGCACTTTTTTCTAAACGCTTGCAGATATTGAGCTGAGTTTTGGTATGTTAGTGTATCTTGATGAGTTACAGTTCAAGTTTGCATTTTGTTATGCTTCTGAATCAATGATTTTTAATGGAATTGTGGCAATTCAATTTTTAGTAGGAACCAGATTACACTTGCCGGTAGGGGACTAGTATTGCTAATGCAATACTCTCAAAATGCTTGTTTAATCTTAATTATAGTAGGTATTTAAGTATGCAAGTACAATACACTGTACATATAAATGCTTGTTCAAAATAAAGTTTTTCTCGTAATTTCAGCCTAACGCAACAGAAACTAAAAATTCAAGAACCTATTGGTAATTAATCTGATGTTTTTTAAATAGATTGATCGAAAGTACATGCAATATAATTCATACTATATAAAGGTGCAGTGTTTAATTGATTTGTTACAAAAAATAGCAATGACCATATCACCAATGCTAATGTAGTGGTAAATATTTTTAATATTTAATAAGTTCCACATTTTTTTTTCACAGTGAAATGGTAAAAAAGAAACTGCTAGCGCTACTGTGCAGACTACCATCAATCAACATGATCAACAAAATCAAGTAATCCTTCTGAGTAAGTGACCTGTAGTATTATCTGTTTTCACCTAGGCCAATATGAGAAGGATGAAAGTTATTATACTCAATACACTAGTTTGGAGATTGTAGCTCTTCAACAAGAGAAACACAAAAAGAAGCCATATCCGCATGAAAGTGGCAGAGATTGTTGATAAAGTATACACAATCATGATTAAATAAATGTCAAAATGATGGCTTAATTAGGGCCTTTTAAAATGTAATTAATATTAAAGAAAGATTATACATGCATATTATGTCAAGCAATGATGATTTTGGTGATCATATTGAGCTATACTTTAGTAATACAGGTTTTTGGATGCTTGAGTCTCTGATTGACAATATATATGTAGTTTTTGGAGACCAGGTCTTCCAATAATCTGTCAGAATTCCCATGGGTACTAATTGCAACCTGTTGTTAGGCTAGCAGACCTCTTTTTATATTCATATGAAGCAGAATTTATTTAAAATCTTGCACATGAGAAGAAGAAAACACTTGCTGTGGTCTTGAACTCGACAGTGAGATATATCGATGATATATTATCAATTAACAATAGTTATTTCCAGTCATATGTCAACTATATATATTATACCCCAGTGAGCTTGAAATAAAAGATACCACAGAGTCTGACACATCTGTTTCATGTTTGGATATTATTTATTTCCATCCCTAATTAAAATTTTATAAATTGATTATGTACATGTAATATTAAATGCATGTTTCTTGGAAAGTAATGTTTTAAGTGTTTCCTTACTACTATTAAGGATTTTCATGGTATATCAGATTCTTGTTTATTATCCTTTTCTAAGTGTTACTTTTCTCTAAGCAGTAAACAGGCAGTTGTATCACTAATGATAGGTGGAGACACATATCAAGTTACCTACAGTTACAGCCAAGGTTTAATGAAGAATCATCTGGAGTCTGGCAGTGAGAGTGACAGTCGGCAGTGGATACTCACTCCTCTAAGGCACCTGATCCCACCTCGGATGTTTTTGAGGTAGAGGTTGCACTGCTCAAATCATAATTTGAATGGACTCTTTCACGGAGGTAGGAAACGTCTATTGGATGGGGGCAGTGTACTATTGAATGCAATGCATGATTGATCATTGTGGAATTTATAAGGACTGATAAGAAAGAAATCCTAGAGAAATATCTTGCTAAACATGCGCTGAACCAGCCTAATAAATTTTTGAGAGGAGCTAATCCTGTATGTTGCATTTTTTACGATACTTTTTACTAAGCGGACTTTTCTTATTAAATTCTAAATGAAAATTGTTACTTTTGAAAGTTGATAAAATACTCTAAACTTTCATTACTTGACAAATCTACTATTTGGAGTTCAATTCTTGGCAATACATTGTAGTTTCGGCATAATGATTGTTCGAATCATTCCATTGTCACCACTGTAATGTTATGCCCCAGAAATCTTGTGAGATTTAGAGCTTCCTCGACTCCCATGCTAATTAAAGAGCAGTTGTAAGTTAGATAATTGCGAGATACTCACAATACTACGTACGTATTGCAAAATACTGGTACTTTTAATTCAATTCACATGTGCTCACCTTTAAAATGCATTCACAATTCTTTATAAAGTTGGTGACATTACGTATGAAAATATAAAGTCTAGTTACATGTTTAAAGTATGCTTGTGGTACATGTATGCATTTTTTTTTCTTGAACAGTAAAGGAAGGGATGAGAGAGTTCATTGAGTGCCATAAACTTTCATTTGTATGTTATTTTTTAGAGATGGAGTAGTACACAAGCACAATTTTTTAAAGAAAGAAAAGTCAATGGAATGAAAGCCAAAGAAAAGGTGAAGTGAATTGTCACTCATTATATTTTAAATTTAATGTGGACATGGTCATTATTTTAGTTATGTCATAACCTTCTTATCAATTTTAAGCAGTGCAGACAGATGCATTTCTTATTGCTTTGAATAGAATAAATTATCAAAAAAGTTTGTATATGTTTTTTGATATAGAATTTATATTAAAAAAAATTATCAATTACTGCAGTTTTGAATTTCAGTACACTAGAAATTTTTCTGCCCTGCCATGAATATGGCTGGGGCATATAGAGTTTGTCATGTCCGTCTTCTGTCCTTTCAACCTTCTGTCTGTCCTTCCATTCCGCTTTGCTTTTAGCTCAGTTCAAAACTAAGTTTCAAAGAAACTATTCAAGATATTTTTATCAATCTTCATATGCTGATACATATTGATAAGAGGTATTCAATTTCATCAACGTACCTTGACCTTTCCTTTAACTTTGACCTCACTTTTCTTAAATTAGTGTTTAGCTCAGTTTTAAAGAAACCATTCAAGATAGTGTAATCAAACTTCATATGCTGATACATACTGAATCAACATTTTTTAACCTTGACCTTTCCTTTGACCTTGACCGTACTTATCTTAAATAAGTGTTTAGCTCAGTTTTAAAGAAACCATTCAGGATAGCATAATCAAACTTCATTTGCTGATACATACTGATGAGAGCTATTCAACTGCATCAACATTTTTTGATCTTGATTTTTCCTTTGACCTTCACCTCACTTTTTCTAAATTAGTGTCAGACTTCATATACTGATACAGACTGATGTAAGGTATTTGACTGTATCAACATTTTTGACCTTGACATTTCATTTGATCTTGACTTCATTTTTTTTTGAAATGGTGATTAGCTCAGTGTTAAATAAACGGTTTCCATTCAAAATATTTTTATCAAACTTATTTTGCTTATGCGTATTAGTGAGAACTATTCAACTGCATCAAAAATGTATGACCTTGAACTTTCCTGTGACCTGGACCTCTCTTTTCTTAAATTTGCATTTTGCTTAGTTTTAAAGAAACCATTAAATATAATTTTATGTGAGCTTATGCACTTAACAGAATTTGGTGGGAATTTATCATCTATATCCAACTTTTTCGATTTCAATGTTAAAGAAACTATTTTAAGATATTCTCATCAAATTTCATACACTAAAAATATTTTTATGTTGCATTACTAATTTGCCCAATTGGTGCAGTGGTTAAAGCTCTAGAGTTGCGGAGTAAGGAGTTGATCCTTATGTCGCTGGTTCGAATCCCACTGTGGGACGTGGAGACCGTATAAACCGAGGTCCCATGTCACAGTAGGTGCTGGCATAAAAAGATCCCTCACTGCTTAATGGCCCTTAGTGCCGAGTATAGGTCAAAATTTGCAGCTCTCCACCGGCAAGTGGTGGCGTCTCCATATGAGTGAAAAATTCTCGAGAGGGATGTTAAACAATAAACAAGCAAATAAAAATTAATATACCCTCAGCGGGGCATTCATGTCCTATGGACATATTTCTAGTTTTGCCCTCTTTTACATTTGTACATGGATATACTTTTTATTTTTGCTCTGTAAACAACAACAACAAAAACATTATACCATATAATATGCACAAGATTATATGCTAGGAATGTATTGTGAAAGATGCATTTCAGCTGACAAATGTAGCATCTTTAAGCCAGCTTTTTAAAAAATTTTCTGAATGACTTTCAGGTACTTCTTTTATATTTGCAACTCATTTATAGGGATGTATTAGTATGGTAGCCTGTCTGCCAACACCTTGTAGATGAGACTCTAGCACATATTGTGTGAAATGGTTCTCTTAATTGACATGAGAAGGTCACTATTTTTTATCAAGATAAAAATTACTTGTATGTCTTGTAATAACATTATTTAATATATCCCTTTCATAGCACACATGTTCTTTCAAAGAGAAGAAAACATTTATAATTTTTCAAGGTCAATAATCTCATGGATGAAATGCAAACTGTACTATTTGAAATAGGTGGTATAGGTATTTCAGAGTCTGTATTACATCTTGCCAGTTTATTGTTCGAGGGAATATTCTCATCAAATAAACTATGTAAAGATTTGCTTTTTAATGCAAAGTATTTTTATAAGTAATAACTTCATTTCAACTTACAATGAACAGTTAATCAATGGATCTCACTTTGTATCTAATGCATTTTTAGAACACAAATTTGTGGTTTAAAACATGTTGTAATAGTTTAATAATGCTATTCATTTTTTTTAATTGACAAGAAATGAAAATGTAATGATTATTTCAAAATAGTGTTTTATTCCTCTTATGTATATTTATAGATATGTAAAAGATTGTTATTTTTATTGATGTTATTTTTGTGTACAAAATACTAGTTATTTATTACTTTATACAAAACTAATGTTGTGAAGATTGATAATAATAGAAGGCCTTATGCATATATTGAACAGTATACAAATGTCACCAATGTAATACACATTTACAAATAAAATGAAATTTTACATGACTTGCACATATTTGCATTATTTGTTACAGTTATAACAAATCTAATTCATTGTATTTATTGTTTCCAATTTTTATTGTCTATTCAAACATGGAAAAATTATATGTGTAATGATGTTAAAGACACAAGAATATGAATTAAAATAAGACTGTATGAACTACCTTTAGATTTATGAATTCAGTAGACAGTGACTGTGACAAATGTGTATTTAGGATAGAGATCTTAGACATGAGAAGAAAAGGGGTTGTTTTACAAACTTTTTTTTGCATGGGGAAATATTGACATTTTTATACAACAACAAATGAAGTTACTGGAATTGTGAAGTCTACGTGTCTTCTGTGAGTAGACATCTTTTGAAACAAAGGTAGCTTGGGGCCAGAAATATTCTAGACCCAGTAGTAAAGGTCTTTTGCACAAGGTCATAGTCACTGTATATCAAAGTATTAAATACTTACCAATAATTGTTTGTAACCTCAGAGTATGATCCTAACACAGGTTAATACAGGTCAAGGCCATAGGGTTTAGAAATGTAATAAATATTCAGATAATCACATAATTCTGTTTGTTTGTTTGTTATACATCCTTTAAGAATTTTTCACTAGTATTGAGACACCACAACTTGCTGGTTGAGGGCTGCAAATATAGACCTGTACTTTTGAGCAGTGAGAGGTCTTTTCTTGTCCCAGCATATACTGCAACAAGGGAATTTGGTTTCATTGGAAGAACCGGTTTCCATGTCCTTCATTGGGATTTGTACCTATGACTTAAGGAACAAGTCCTTACTCCACTACTCTAGAGCAAATGCTCTGACCACTGCGCCAAGCGGGCAATCACATTATTGTTATACTCGATGTAAATCAAGGCGAAGGGATAATTGTGACTTGGGGATGTATAACAACCCTGCATCAAGTTCAATTTTTGACCACTATAAAATAACTTCCAAAGATTATATTATCCTAGGGTTCATTATGCTCAGAGTATATGACATAAATTGGATATATAAAATTCTAAAATACAATTTTTTTTTTTTAGAAAAGTACAAGGTTATAGTTTCAAGAGGTCATATCTAGCATGTACAGGTGATTGTGGCTTAGATGATGATTCTATACCATAAGTCGTCATGTGACTACGACGTTTTAAATCAATGTGTTTCTTTGGTGGTGGATGAAATATTTTCTTAACAATTACTATCGGTCATTTCCTATATTTCCATAAGATTCAGGACATGAAAATTTGTCTACGAATAGACATCACCCTATTAGTTCCTTCTAGTTAAAATAAGGAATCATCATACTGGGTTTTAAAGTGCCTAATATTTTACTTAAGATAAATGCAAATTGACCAATAAATACTGGTATGAGAAGTACATTTATGCATGTGTAGTTTTTTATTTAAATAATTAGAAAAAAGAAAATGGTCTACATAATCACGTATATATATATATTCTGGTCTCCTTTATGCATTATATATACTTGGTCTACTTTAACCCTTCGGGATCCTCATAAAATATATACATGTCTACCTTAAACCTCCAATGTATTTACAAAATATTAAGGAGACCAGAAATGTCGTATATTTTTCAGGAAGCAACATTTAGGGCTGAGGGGGTAAAATTTTCATTATTGAAGCCTATTAGAATAAATTTGGGTGAAAGTGTGAATCAGAATGTCTCAAATAAAAGAAATGAAAAATGTCTACTTAATGCCTCAAAATAAGTGCGGTCTACTTTATGCCAAAGTCCACCTTATATATATATATATATATATATATATATATATATATATATATATATATATATATATATATATATATATATATATATATATATATATATATATATATATATATATTTACCTTTTTGAAGCAAATGTAGAGCACATAATAAATTCCACAGGAATAAAACAACTATTTGTTTATTTTACATAAAATATATATTTTTATATATAGGTATGAATGATCAACATATACACATTCGTATGTTTTTATTTCAAGGACATGTGATGAAAAAATAATAAACAAAGGAAAAGAGACTAGATTTGCATAAGTAATCTATCGTTGGTTAGTTAGACCCCCCCCCTCTCTCTCTCTCTCTCAATAAAACTAACGAAAAAGGTCATTATGTTGAATTTTTCCGAATATATGGATAAATGCTTCGAAAAATGTGATTTTTTTCCCAAAACATGATACATGCTTTGCAAAGTCTGTTTGTCAGCAAAAAGAATTAACCCTGCCCATAACTTTTGATTGTTTGGAGCTATGACTTACATATTTCTCATATGTATACCTTCCTTTGGGTACCAGCATATCTGACCTCTTGACCTTGACCTTGGAGTTAGATCCACTTTTACAAAAATTATCTTCCAACTTTTACCTTGGTCATCATATTTCACATGTGTATTCAGCGTGACAAGACCTTTCCATGGGTGTAAATATTTTTTATCTGTTGGCCTTGACCTTTGAGTTTGACGCACTTTTGAAGGAAAAAAACTTAAACCTTGACCATGTATTTTGAACACTTAGTAGAAGGGCTTTCGAATTTCACAGGTATATTCCCTGTGACAAGACTTTTTTTTTTACTACCAACAGTTTTGACCTTTTGACATGGACTTTGGAGTTTGATTTACTTTTGAATAACTTTAACCTTCGCCATAACTT